AGCAATTAAAACATTCAGGACACAATTCTACAGGAATGTGATGGGTGGTATTCGGGCAGGTTAGCTGTTCCCTTTGTTTGTGGACAACGGTTCTTTTCCCCCAATACTGCCATGGAGTGAGCAACTGAAGTCAACTTGAAAAAGTAAGACTGTACAAACATTCCATTTTGGAAGACAAATTCCTTTCTTTACACATACTCTTTTTAAAATTTATCTCCACCCCCCAGGTTTTGCCTCCTCTGTCCACCAATTCCTTGAGAGATAGAAGGTTCAAATTTCCAGAGCCAAATTATAAGATGATAGACTCACAATGTGTTTCTAACACATTAACGTCTCGGAACATGCTGTCAGAAAAGGTATTTTAAAATGCTAAAAAGACAATCTTTCAGTGGAAAAAAAAAACAAGGAGAAAATGTTTAAATCTATTTTCTTTCTAGACATCTATTACTATTTTGAAAACAAAAAGAAATAGAAAAACATGTCCTTTTCTTATATTGTTAATATTTAGTGTTTTAATTAAATTTTAAATGTGTCAACATTATACAGGTTATAAAACATTGAAAGAATAAAAATATAAAAATAAGTTTTTTTTATAAATCCCCAAACTTGAATTTATTGAAACACAGTGTAAATTACATCTCTTTTTTTGTTGTTCTTGTTTTCTTGAGATTATAATTTTTTACTAAAATATTTTTAATACAATTTTTTCTCATTTTACATAACTACTCTCGTTCCCACTCTTTCTTTTCCTCTCATCCCACCCTTTCCCCCACCCACGCTCCATCCACTCCTCAGAAAGGGTGAGGCTTTCCATGGGAAGTCAACAAAATCTAACACTTCACTTGCAGACAAGACCAACCCCCCTTCCCACCAATATCTAGGCTAAACAAGTATTCCTTCAAAGATAATTTGCCCCCAAAAGCCAGTTCAAACAACAGGGATAAATCCTGACCCCATGGCCAATGTCCCCACAGATTGTTTTTTTAATGAGAAACTCAAGATTTGTACCACAAACTTAGATTATATTTACACAGCACATTGAAGAAAATTGCTGCAGTAAAAGTCTTTGATGAAATCAATTTTTTTTAAAAAAATGGAGAATAGCTCTCTTAATCCAGAAGAGTAAATTTTTGATTAATATTTTATTAGTGGAGCTATAGTTCTAACCAGGGCCTTGAATATGCTATGCCAGTGCCCAGCCACTGAGTCACAACTGTCTTCACGTTGATCTTAAGAGTACTGTACTATGACAATGTACAACTTCCTTTCCTACATTAGAGGTCCATGCACTTAAAAAGCTAATGCCACGTCAAGGTTACAGCACACTTAGATTTATATTAATTGTAATGTTTTTTTCAGCTGTTTTTCTCTAACTTTCCTAACTCAAATATCACTTTTATGATATTTACATCTCTGTCATCTAGAATGTTTTTATCGAATCAAAAGTCACCTATGATGTTTGAGTATCCAATACTTATTCTTTAATAAGAATTTCCAGCTATTGTAAAGTTTTAAATATACTTTTCTAATAAGGAAACTATTTTGTTATATAAAAAAAATAAAAGGAAGAGCTGATATCAGTTTAGCTAAACAGCTCCAGTAATTTGAACGGTTATTATTGGAAATAATAAATTTGATATATACAACTTAAAGGTATCTTAATATTTATTGGTATTTCACTTAGTTCTCTTGATAAGACCTATTTTATTATCTTTGAAAATTTCACTCTTCCAGATCCATCCTGTATTGATATTAATAAACAAATTTACCTGGTTAGATACATCTTAATACAAAATGCATAATCTACAGTCACATTTTCCATAAAACCAAAGAAATTGACCATCATTGTGTGAGGTCTATATCCTTCCTGTTGATATCAATTTTTTCATTAAAAATAAATGCCTCTTCCCCATTGTCTCACATATTATAATTAATGCTCAGAATTGAAGCCAAGATAATAACATCTGGCCACGCTGCTGTACATGCTAGAAATAGCTTTCCAGAGACATAACTTTCTTAATAATCCATAGGTCATCATTTTTCCCAGCATTCATAAAGAGGTTTTTTTCATACATTAATTTTCACAGACAATTTAAATTCCTATTCAGATCATGGTGTGTGTGTGTGTGTGTGTGTGTGTGTGTGTGTGTGTCCAAACATAACTTGTACCCTTTTTGGTACCCTATAAGGTAAGTAAAAGTAGTCGCAGTGTTTTTATTATTTTTAAGGTCTCTAGACATTAATTCATATATTCATGTTTATTATTATATATTATACAAAATCAACTAATTAACTAATTCAAAGTTTGTCTTGTGATAACTGATACCAGCTTAATTGGACAGGACAAGTTGAGAATAAAGATTAAAAGCCCATATTGCTTCCAGATACTTACGCTGTCACTTTTAGGATGATTTAAATATTTCCCTTTTGTTTATTGGGCTTATACTTTGTAGTATAAGTTGATATAAATTTCATGGATGGTTTCACATATTCTTGATGCTGTCAACTTAAGCCAGGAACTACACACATTTATTTCAGGAAGGCCTTAGCTGAACTGCATTTCAGTCTCAATTTTGGCCCTTCTACTCTGTGTGATGTTGAACAAATTACTTACATCCTCTGGGGCTCAGTGTTCTTGTCTATAAAATGGAGATAATATGGTTCAACTGAACCTTGTTGGAAGAGCCAACTAAGGCAATTGACATGAAAGTTCCCTAATTATTTTAAACCACAGCTACCATTTTTTTTCTAAAGAATGATAACAATATCCATGTCCTTTTGGAAGCATATTAATTTGCAAATGAATTTTATTCAAGAAAAGATTACATTCAGTGTGTGAACATGTGGGAAATACGCAGCAAGTGATATAAAGAATTTAAAGTCATGAATCCTAAATAGTATAGCATTAATATATCAGATGAGCCACAATTGAGACAGCATGTAAATATTACACATCTTAGTTTTTCTCTGAACCATTCAATTAAGTAATTTCAGATAGAACAATTAATCAATGTGTAGAGCATAACAAAAAATAAACTCAAACCAATGATACTATGCTTCCATTCCAATTAGCTTATTTTGCTCAGTTCCATTCCCCCAAAACAAATCTATTTTATTAAAAATGTAGTCAATTAAAATATTCCACAAATGCAATCAACCCACATATTAAGCTAGAATGCTTATTTTGTTTCATATTTATTAAGGACTCATGACCACATTTTTCTATGAATAGGTGGAATGTGCAGAATAATTTCCTCATCCCTATTCTGATATTATGGGCCTCTACGGTCTGATGCTCAGTCACTGGGGAGGATGACCTGCTCTTTACACAAAGAGTGAAACTACATTGTGATGGAGCAATGTGCACCACAGACAATGAAACTTGTGTATTGATTTATTAATGTTTGCAATTAGCATCAGTCATCAAACTTCACAATGGTCTGAATTGAGATTAGCTGCAGCTCTCCGTTTTCACATTTAACAGACACAGTACCATCAACAGGGAAAGCAAGGAAGCCAGGGAAGAAAAGAGCAAAGTGATACATACATTCCGGCTGAAAGAATGGCCATGCGTGAAGGATAGGATACTGATTGGCTAGATGTTCTTGTTTCGTAGGGAATACAGCACATGGGGAGACATATTTACACATGCACATCCTCATGTAAACATACAGTTGAAACCATTATTATTTTCTGATTAATGCCACCTCTTGTCAGTCAGAGCTAGACAAATGATCTCAGCCCCAGGTTTTCCTGTTTACACAGCCTGCTCTGATGCACAATTGTCCATTGTCCAGTGTGGGGGCTGGCTAGGGAGGCATCAGTGCCTGCCCCTATCTGAGGCTAGATGACAGTCCCCCTTTGCCAATGAGCATGGGAAAGATCAGCTACTCCTAACACCCTTGTGTGACTTTGTGTGCATGTATGTAAAATCCCCCACCCCGTGTGTGTGTGTGTGTGTGTGTGTGTGTGTGTGTATGGGGAGGGACCCATGCCCTTACCACCAAATAGGGCCAAAATCCACCTCCACACTTGAGTTAAGAATGAGGTGATTGCTCAGCCGCTGTAATTGTCCTTTACACTACTCATTTCCATGGCAGCTATTAAAACTCCAAGCTGACATGTGGCTTCCCTGCCCTGTCTCCCAGAGCACGTTATGTTAAGGGGAAATCACTATAATCAAATCTCCATGCCTTGCTTGCTGCTAAAACGAGATGGCTTCTTAGCAGGGTGGCTCAGGGACCACCACTACCACCCCACTCTGAGTGTACACACGCGCACACACACCGACGCAGTCTGACTCCCACAGCATCCTCACTTCCATCCCTCCTCTTTCTCTCTCGTAAGGATTGCTGAACATTTTGCTCCAAACTCTCCAAGTCACCCACGTGTTTGTTCTCCCCTTTGCTGTTCAATTTACTTCTGAACTTGACAAGAGTTGTTCGCAAGCCCTGTGCTGCAATTCCTGCGACCAACTGGTCTCCTCCACACCCTGTGCCCTCTCGGGTTAGATCTGCCTGGCAGAGCCCTCCTTTCGGAGTGCGTTGGACAGATTTATGGATGGTTTCCAGGCTTGGACTGCAGCCTCCCCCACCCCCAGCTTTCGCGCCTTCACCCTCCCTCCACTAGATACAAACTGAATTAGGTTTAATCTTACTGCTGGGGTGGGATGGAAACGAGTGGGGAGAGGGAGGCGCTTGGCACAAATAAACCAGTGAAACACCACACACACACACACACACACACACACACACACACACACACACACACGCACGCACACACACACACACCAGTTAACAATTATGCTGTACTTTCGTATCTATTTCACACCTGAATTGTATCTTCCAGGGCAAGGACAGACACGCCCCTGCTCACCCTCCCTGAGTTTCTTGTATTTGACCCTGGATTCCAAGATTCGTGTTGAGCAACTAACAGGGAGAATTGGAGAAGAGGGGAGGTGACCCTTTGCCAGAGTGGGGGAGGGGGCGCTCTCGACTCACCGTCTGAGTCCCTGGAACGATGAGGGCCAGGACATCCTGGATTTCTTCAGGCCGGGCCGGTGACCCGTCTCCACCGCGTAGGAGGTGCGGTCCATGGCGCGGCAGTACAGGTAGCGCTCGGTGTCTGAGTAGCCGCGGTGCCGGACGCGGCTGGCCCCGCTCGAGGCGTAGCGACCACGGGTAGCTCCGGGCGGCGGCGGGGGTGGCGGCAGTGGGGGCGGTGGCGGTGGCTGCAGCTGGGGTTGGGGCGAGGGTGGTGGCGGCGGGGGCAGGTGGTGATGGGGGTGCAAGAGACGGAACTGGGGCTGCCGGAGCGGGTACTGGTGGTGCTGCTCGTGCCTCCAGAGATGCTTAGGGGCTTTGAGTGCAGCCCCTCCGGTGCCGTCGCTGCCCTCGCCGCTGCCCGCCCGGGCCGGCACGTTGCTGCCCTCTGCCTCCATCCTGGCCGGCTCCGTGCACCGCTGCCCCGCCGGGTCCACCGTGCTAGCCCGAGCGCCTTCGGGCTACTGCTGCCGCCGCTTCCCAAGACAGAGACTGGGCTCAGCTTCCGACTTGTAGCGGCCAGAGGCTCCAGGCCACCGAGAGGGGGCTCTGCTAGCGGGTGCGATTACGGAATGGCTCAGGGATCCTTACTAGGTGGACAAGGCAGGGACGCGCGGTGGTTGCTCCCAAGTAACCAAGACTCGGATGCACGGCTTCTCTGATGGTCGGTTTCTTCTTCCTCCCCCTCTTCTCTTCGTTTCTCGGGGCACAGCCGAGGAGATTAGGAAATGTTGGCAGCTAGAAGCTGTCTCGCAGCAGTAGCCTGCTCTTGAGTCCGGGCACCTGAAACTGGAGCTCAGAGCTGCTGAAAAGTTGGACAGCTCCCGGCTGGCCAGCTGGTGCTCTGACTTTCTCCAAAACCACTCCAGCCAGTCAGGAGTCAGGCCAGCACTCTAGCTCCTTCCCCTCCCTGTGCCCGCGCCTCCCTCCCTTCCTGCTCCCCGCTGCCCCGAGGTTTGCTCCTCGCTGCTTGACTAGGTCCTCTCCTCTCACAGAAATGCATTTGATGATTCCTGGCTGGTTCTCAGAGCTTGTTGAAAATGAGTCGCAGGAAGCGGGCTTCCAAAGAAAAGGGATGCAACCTGTCAAAGTTGCAAGGAATACTGTGTCTGTGTGTGGCAAAGATTTGAATCTGCATAGAGATCTAATATGTAAGGTCAATTTAGTCTGTCTCTGAGACACAGGATTAAATATTCTGTGAATCGTTCCTACAGCAGGAAGAATGTTCACACTATTTCCTTCTGGAGATGTTCCAGCTAGTGTTTTGGTCCTGGAGAGGAGAGCTAACTGAAAATAAAAATGAACGGTCTTTTGCTTAGAGAGCTACAGCTGAGTTCTCTGGATACGCTTAAGCTTGGGGTATCTTTTCCATTACATACGGCTGGTTATCTTCAGCAGTTGCTACCTTCGGAGCCTGGCTGCAATTTGCTTTTTTTTTTGCCACATTTGACGGAACACAGCTCTATTACCAAAGCATTTTTAAAACACAGTGTGCCATCAATCCAGCAGAAATAGTCACACTTGATGCTACAGTCTGGATTCAACTTTAATCTCCTAGAATTAATGTTTTCTTGCAGGATCAAATATTTTTAAAACATTAAGATATTTCAGAGCACTATGAGGGCGTTCCATGCACTTCTTTGATACTGTCACAGTCCTTAAGGATCATATATGCCATCTCCTCACGATTAATTCTATGATTTGTCACTGTGGAAGTCAACACAGTACACCATCCGCTATTTGTCAGATATTTTGAACTCACAATAAGTCATTGGCAGCTTAATCATTCTGTTCTCTGCAGAATGTCATAACATGAATGAATATGTACAAGAGTACTTAAAATCAGGAGCCCTCAGAGTGTTGAAAATCCAATCATCTCTCCACAGTGAACGTTCAGTATAGATGCCGGGAGGAAAGTAGCAATAGTGAAAATAAATGCTCTTTGCTCCTCAGAGCAGTCCATGAAATAGACAAACGTCTTCTTGTGTAAAAATACACAAACATCTTCTTCTGTCACTGGCAACAGTTTAATCCTATACCCAAGACCCCAGAGCAGCTGCGATGGCTAGTCCTGATAGGACATGTCCCTTGTCTTCAGCCTACTAGCCTGGGTATTCTGTTCACATGGGAGTCATGTACAAGCCCTGAGAAAGGAAGTCCAGAGAGAAAGGAGGCAAAGGTCTCTGATGTGTCCTTTCCTATATGGAGGACTGAAACTGGCCGTGCCTAAAACACCCTCCCTTGGAAGACACAAGTGTGACAGTGATGGCAACATTTTCTATCTCCTAGTGGGGACTGAACCATATCTTCTCAAATGTGAGAAGAAAGAAAATAATAAAGTATTCTGAAGCATAATCTGATTTGTATTCCCTTGTAATTCTTAGCCATATTAACATCTGGAACTATTTCAAAGAAAAGCGCATTCCAACTTTCATCTGAAGCGCTTCCCACCCATTTTAAACCTCAAGCTGTAGCGCTATAACTCAACCTAAAACTCCTAACTTCTCAGAACTGCAAATGGTCAAGTAATTTAGGATCCTTTTCTCCAGATTAAACAGAACAACTCAAGCCTGGCCCACTTCTCATCGTCCGTTTCCTACTTCCTGGTGATTCAGGAATATTTTCTTTTATTTATACTTGTCATTATGTTTTACAAAACTTTACATTGTTCACAGCGTTCAATTACAAGTCTGGAGCTCTTTTAAGTTCATAGAGACCCTTTGACATGCTGCCTACTTTTGTAATTTTCAGGTTTCCCCAATTGCTAAAGATTATTGATTTTAAAGGGTTGTTGAATAGAATAGAGATTGCGGGCAGGCTCCTGACTCACCTGTTCCTACTAATGTGGTCTTACCTGGATCATCTGCCTGCCTCTTGGGTACAGAATGATACCCTCCCTAACCCACAGAATCTTGTGATTATTTCTAATGAAAATATACTCGCAACAATGATTTTTAATAAGATAAATGCGTAATACAAGCTGGCAATTTTAATGGTTTTTGACAGATATGGAAGCATTCTAAGTATCATTTTCATCAGTAGTTAGCAACCTGACCTGTACCTAGGGAACACCAGCTGTGAGGGTTTTAAAGGCTGGGTGTTGGTTCTTAGACCAGTCTTTAGTAACTTTAACTTGTCAGAATAAACTGGAGAACTTATTTAGAATATATAGCCACAGATTTCTTGAAGCCGGACAAGACTTGGTGCTTTATGATTTTGCTAAGTTTGCAAGGAATATGTGATTGAGAATCAAGTTTGTGAAGCAATACTCTTGCTTGACAAATTAAATCAATACCTTAGTGGGGAGAACTCAATATTCTGTCAAAAGGATACTCTTCAGAGAGCTTTGTTTATTGGTAACTACACATTCACCCAAATTCATCATTGTACGATTATATAAATATAGTCAGTGCTTCTAGTTAACCTGTCACAAGTCTCAAACACTTGCAATCAAAAGCATCTTAACTTTCAGATCTCAAAGAAAAATTTATTTTATTGATTATTTTGTTTGCTTCCATGTTAGAGAAAATCACAGACTGTTCAAGGTCTTGAATCCCCTCTTTTCCATTTCAAACCTCTATTCATTAATATGGGGAGTCTCCAACTGGCTGAAGCAACAAAAATGTAAGAAGCTCAGATGACTCACTGGTTTTCTCTGATATTTTTTTGTCATTTTTTGTCATAAGTTTCTTACCCCTCTCAATTGGTCATAGATCTTAAAATTTTACAGGATACAAACTGGGACAATCTTTATGAATTGGTTAACATGGAGCGTTCTTGAATATTATCATTATTTACCATAATCTACATCTTAATAAAAATAGAAACTCAGGTAAACAAATAGTGTCCTCTTCCTGAACAAACTGAACTAAGTGGTAGGCTGGTGCCATGGCCATGAATTTGATAGAGATTATATATTACCCCCTCTAGTGCCAACACATTTCAAGTTTTACCTAATGACAAAATCAATCACTCAATGTGCTGCTATTAGCAAGGGAGAACATTCTTGTCAATAATTCTGGGTAGCAGAAAGATGTTAATTCACAGCTCACAGAAAACCAGCATCTGTTCTTTTAGTCCATAGTTCAGAATTAAAGAGTATGTCACAACATCTAAGGGCCAATGTCTATCTTGGTGAAAAGAGAAAGACTCAAACAAGACTATGATCTTGCATATGTCCTACACCCCTGTGCTGTTGCATTTGTTGAAGGGCATCAGTTTGGTGTCAGTTCATTTGAAGTTAGAAATTTATTGCATTGGAGGTTGTGTTACACAAGGCCAAACTATTGTCTAGTTGTTAGAAATATTCAGAGATTTCACAAATAGCCTCAGATTTCATCTAGCTCCTTGCTATTGAGTGGAATCAGGCATCAGACATTTCTTTGAGATATAGAAAGGGTTTTTAAGACTATGAAATATCCAGACATATATTAGAATAAATAATATTAAAATTTCTATTCCATTTAGTTCAACTAATGTTGAGCTAAAACCTTTGCCTTAAGTATATTTTTTTTTTGGTTACCATGGCAATAAATTCCTGCCAGTATGGCAATATCAAACTGTTTGGTGGCTCAGTATCACTAGAAACCAGTATTTTAACACCATAATGACATTTGTTACCAGAGAAAATATTGTATAAGTGCCAATTCCCATGAATACTTTAGTGCTCAATTACTGAAGACACACAAAGAGATAATGTTCTCAGGAGTTTTGTATCTTATAGGGGAAATAATAAACCTCTAAATTTAATTTATGGGATACTAGGAGGAATATGGTAGTCAGCTTCTGTTGCTGTAACAAAAGACCTGAGAATATAACTTTAGAAACTAAAAATTAGTTTCAGTACTTTCAATTCATGGTGGCTTGGTTCTGCTGTTGCTGAGTTTGTGGTCAGGTAGACCCTTATAGGAAGTATATGGCAGAACAGAGCTACCTACTTCAGGGCCTCTGAAAAGCAGAGGTTGAAGCAATGGCACAGGGATAAGGCATACCTTTCGAACACACTTCTCCAATGGCTCGTTTCCTTGAATCAGGACCTATATTCTAGTTTTGAGAATAGCTCAGTGATGCTTTCAAGTTAGGAATCCCTCAATGGCTTAATCACTTGATTAGGGCAGATTCATGGTCGAATCCCCTCCCCCACCAAAAATACCCTCATATCTCAATGTTGTTTTTGTGACCAAGCTTTCAACTCTAAACCACGAGGAAGAATATTCTATTATCAAGGCATCGTGAGTTTTCACAAAGAGTAAATGGCTTCTAAATTGATGCTAAGACAACAAGCATTTGTTGAAATGAAATTAGACTGTTCTCATGGTGTATAAGCTCACATGTGATTGTACGTGTATACCATATATAGCGAATGACATAAACAAATACACAATAGAAATACAGGTTCCTTGGATATCCAGAAAATGGAAGAAATTACATAGGTCTGTGGGGAGTTCAGGTGGGCAAGTTTGCAGACACCAAGTGAAGAATCACTTCATGTTGTGTCTCTTCAAGGCAATGTGATACCTGTGCTACCTTGTCAATAGTAGCCCCTCTTGGCAAGTTGGATTTAAGGTCTGTAGTTATGATATGAAGTGTCTGAGTGTAGAGGTAAATCACGGACATTAGAATAGGAAGGAAAACAATACTGTATTGTCCGTGAGAAGATGGTGGAAGGGGAGAGGATGTTAAGAAAGAGGTGAAATGAATAGACCCAAACTACACAGAAGCCAGCATTTCCTTTGGGACACCAGATAAAGAAAAAGGCTAGAAGTAAGTGCGTTACATTCACTGAACATTTAAATTTTGGCACTTTA